CGAAATTCTTTCCCTGCTTCCCGTTTCTCTCCCCTCATTGAGAAGGCAAGCAATTTGGTAGAAAATGTATTTCCATATTAATCATGTTGTTAAAGACAAAAAAAAAAGAAAAAGAAAGTTTTTACAAAATGTATGCTTTGACCTGCCTTCAACTTCTATCGGTTTTTTCCACTGGTGATGGATAGATTTTTTTTAATCATAAGTCCTTTGGAATTGTCTTGGATTATTGTATTGCTGAGAATAGCAAAGTCATTCACATTTGATGATGATACAGTATTGCTGTTACTAGGTACAATATTCTCCTGGTTCTGCTCACTTCACTTTGCATCTGTTCAGGTAAGTCTAAGTTTTTCTGAAAGCATTCTGCTCATCATTTCATATAGCACAATAGTATTCTGTCACAATCATATACCACAACTTATTTAACCATTCCCTAATTAATGGACATCCCATCAGTTTCCAATTCTTTGCCGCTACGAAAGGAGCTGCTATAAATATTTTTCTACATATAGATCCTTTTCCATGTTTTTTTTTTTAATCTCTTTGGGATATAGACCTAGCAGGGGTATTGCTGTGTCAAAAGGTATGCATGGTTTTGTAGCCCTTTGGACATAGTTCCAAATTGCTCTCTAGAATGGTTGGATCAGTTCACAACTCCACCAACAATGCATTAATGTTCCAGTTTTTTCCACATCTTCTCCAACATTTATTATTTTCCTGTTTTGTCATGTTAGCCAATCTGATAGGTGTAACATGGTACCTCAGAGTTGTTTTAATTTGCATTTCTCTAATCAATAGTGATTTAGACCATTTTTATATATGACTATAAATAGCTTTAATTTCTTCATCTGAAAACTGCATGTTCATATCCTTTGACCATTTATCAATTGTGGAATTACTTGTATTCTTAAAAGTTTGACTCAGTTCTCTATATATTTGAGAAATGAGGTCTTTACCAGAAAAACTTGTAAAAAATTTTCACAGTTATGATTACTTTGCATTTCCTGCTATCCTATTGTCCCCCGTTTATCTCTCTCATTTGTCCCTGGTCCTTCTCAAAAGTGCTTTGCTTCTGACCACCAATATGTCCTCTCTTCTATCAGCCCCCCACCCTTTTCTATCCTCTTTCCCTCCTACTTCCCTGGTAGGGTAAGATAGATTTCTAAAGCCAACTGATTGTGTCTACTATTCCCTCTTTTAACCAATTTTGATGAGAATAAGGTTCAAGTGTTGTTTGCCATGCCTCTAATATTCCCCTCTACTGTAAAGGTTTTTTCATGCCTCTTTTATATGAGGTAATATACCCCATATCTACCTCTCCTTTCCCTTTTCTCCCAGTACATCCCTCTTTTTCACCCCTTAATTTCAGTATTTTAGATATCATACCATCATATTCAACTTCCTGTGTCTATGCTCTCTGTGTATGCTTCAGCTGCCCTAATAATGGTAAAGTTCATAGGAGTTACAAGCATAATCTTCTCATGAAGGAATATAAACAGTTTAACCTTATTGAATCCCTTATGATTTCTCTTTACTGTTTACCTTTTTATGATTCTCTTGATTTTTATGTTTGATAGTCAAATTTTCTATTCACCTCTGGTCTTTTATTTTCCTGAGTAGGTGATTCTTAGTTATAATTCTAGCTGCTCTTGCCCCCCTAGAATATCTTATTCCAAGTCTTCTGATCCTTTAATGTAGAAGCTGCTAAATATTGTGTTATCCTGACTATAGATCCACAATATTTGGATTGTTTCTCTCAGGCTTCTGGCAATATTTTCTTCTTGACCTGGGAGCTCTGGAATTTGGCTGTAATATTCCTGGGAGTTTTCATTTGGGGATCTCTTTCAGGAGGTGGTCAGTGGATTCTTTCTATTTCTATTTTACCCTCTAGGTATTCTAGGATATGGTAGTTTTTCTTTATAATTTCTTGACAGATGAAGTCTAGATTCTTTTTTTTTTTTATCATGGCTTCCAGGTAGTCCAATAATTCTTAAATTATCTCTTCTCAATGTATTTTCTGGGTCATTTGTTTTTTGAGATAATTCACATTTTCTTCCATTTTTTCATTCTTTTACCTTTGTCTAATGGAACCATTAGCTTCCATTTGCCTATTCCAGTTTTTAAGAAATTATTTTCTTCATTGATTACCTCCTTTTCTATTTGGCCAGTTCTGTGTCTTAAATAGTTCTTCTCTTCAGTGGATTTATGTGCTTTTTTGTTTTTTACCAGTGGTCTTATTCTGTTTTTTTAAGGTTGTTATTTTCTTCAGTATTTTTTGTGCCTAATTTACCAAGCTGTTGACTCTTTTTTCATAATTTTCTTTCATCACTCTCATTTCTTTTCCCAATTTTTCCTCTACCTCTTTTACTTGATCTTTAAAATGCTTTTTTGAGCTCTTCCAGGAATTATTTTTGGGCCTAAGACCAATTCACAATTTTCTTTATGTCTTTGGTATCTTCCTCTGATTATTTTTCCCTTGTCATCATAATAACTTTCTCTGGTCGGGTTCTTTTTGTTGTTGTTTACTTATTTATCAGCCTGTTTTTTTTTAACTTTTAACTTTATGTTACAATTGGTCTCTATTCCTGTTGTGGAAAGGACAGTGTCCCAAGCTTTAAGTTTTTCATTCTGCTGTTTTTAGAGCTAGTTCGGGGAGGGGGGTCTGTATGTTTTCAGTTTTTTTTAAGATGATATGTTCTAAGAAGAGGTATGGTCATTGCTGTCCTGGCCTGGGCTCTGGTCTGTAAGCAACCACAGGCAACCTTTCTTCCCTGGAACTGGGACCAGGGTCCCAGCTGCCCACTCTTGGGTGCTTGTTCTTCTCCTCATTCTGGGACTATGACCCAGAACGGAGCATGGGCAATGCAACAGAGTCGGCATCCACAGCCACCAAAGAGTCTCCTGTATGTAATCTCCTGTTCAGCTGCCCTACCCCTTTACCATCTGTGGGCTGAAAGCTCTAGAAGCTAATTCAGGCACCCCTGAGGTCTATGCTGGATTTGCAGGGTGCAGCCTGCACTGAACTGCACTCCATGCTCACCCCAACAAGACAGAACATTCCTAACAACCTTCTAAGTTGTCTTAGGCTGGAAATTGTTTTTCCCTGTCTTTTTATCTTTTTCTGCTACTCCAAAATTTGTTTTGAAGTATTATTTTAAAGTTGTTTGGAGGGGAATTTGGGAATGCTTAGGTGAGTTACTGCCTTTCCTCTGCTATCTTGGCTCTGCCCCACCTCAATAATGTATGCTCAAGATTATATTATTATATTGTTTCACTTAATTGTTTTAGGAAAATGTGGTGTGCAGTTATGCCTGTGTTTAGAGTGAGGGACATTGAGAATATTTGTTGTGTCAAAATAATAAAAAGAAGGAAAGAAACATTTAGGAAAGCTTTAGGCATAACACATTGCCTAGTGAATGTCAGTTCATTCATATAGGAAAGAAATCCTATCAATACAATAAATGTGGGGAATCTTTCTTCTGGACCACAAGGTACTAGAGAATTCACTCTAGAAAAGATTCCCTATGATACATGTAGGAAATTTAATTTATTGGTTATGACAAATCCATACTGAAGGGAAATATTATTGATAAATGCAGATGGGCAAGCCTCTGACTTAATTCAGTAGGACATCCTGGAAAGACAACTGAACTTTCTCTGCCATGGTGAGACCATGGGCAAGTAACCTCCCACCTTTGTCCCTCAAGTGGGACTATGATACCAGCTAATTCTCAGGCTTTTGGGGCACAGAAGGTGTGATCATGTATGCAAAGTGTTAGTTAATTCAATTTTCATTGCACTTTGGGGGACTGCACAAGAGGAATGTCATGAACAACCGGAATGCCATGAATAACTGGAAGCCTTGAGTATGTTCCTGTGATTCCAGGTGGAAAGAAGAATCCCCCATAAAAAAAAATCTGAGGCTACCTGTAGTAGGCGTGTGTGTGTGTGTGTGTGTGTGTGTGTGTGTGTGTGTGTGTGTGTGTGTGTGAGAGAGAGAGAGAGAGAGAGAGAGAGAGAGAGAGAGAGAGAGAGCGAGAGAGAGAGAGAGCAGAGAAAGACAGATGGACAGAGAAACAGAGAGAGAGAGATGGACAGAGGGAGAGTGAGAGAGAGAAAAGAGAAGAGACGAGAAGAGAAGAGAAGAGAAGAGAAGAGAAGAGAAGAGAAGAGAAGAGAAGAGAAGAGAAGAGAAGAGAAGAGAAGAGAAGAGAAGAGAAGAGAAGAGAAGAGAAGAGAAGAGAAGAGAAGAGAAGAGAGAAGAGAGAAACCGAGAGACAGAGAGAGAAAGAGAGAGACTAACACAACAGCAAATCAAGGGTTTTCTTACTGGGGGCCACTAATGTGCAGATTTAAATCAGTGCTTCTCTAAGTATTTCTTAGGGAGCCTGCCTGCCTTCCTTCAGGACTTCCCAATATTGGAACCTCTCCCTAATAATATGGGGTCAGAGATCAGCCCAGTTCATGCCCATGTTTTTTGTTTGTTTTTCATTTTTTTTCCCTAGCAGGAATTTTTACTTGAGCAATGCAACCCCTCATTGTGTAGTAGAAAGAATGATGGATTTGAAGTCAGAGGACCTGAGTGTGAATCCTGGATATGCCACTGTGTCCTTGTGGCCTTGAGCAAGCCACCTTCTCTGGCCCATCATTTTCTCCTCTGTAACATGAGAGGGTTAGTCTAGGTTATCTTCAAGGTCCCTTCTGTCCCTAAATCCAAGATAGTTGTTCATTTAAATAATGATTGCAAGACTATGTATTTTACTGACTTTCAGAGCCTCCAGTTAAAAGATGCAGAATTAGGACAATATACCAAAAGCACAAATGACTAGGATCTTCAGTTATTAAGGCAAACTCTTTAATGTTGAAATATTAATTTCATAGAATTTAGAGTATTTTGTAAAAACAGAAAATAAATGTATAAGCTGGTGAAAAGTTTCTGCACATATTCTGGAATACAGTTGACCCCATACTCACTTGGTTTTCTTTTATTCTTTCCACAGACATGTTCCAAGCTTGTCCCATCTATTACTAGAAGCAACTTGAAAGTTCTTTTCTTTTTACAAAGAAGTCTTTTAATTTTGATGTTCTCTATCAGCTGCTCAAAGAAACATAATTGCTCTTCTAACCTTGATATAGAAAACCTGTTCTTTCAAAAGATCTAATTCTTTCCTTTCTCTAAATTTTTCCTATTAGAGAAGTAGCATAGATATCTATTTCTGTCTGTTTTAACATATATCATTGATGCTTCCTTCTCACATTTAACACTGAATAAAAATATTTGATGGAAAGTTTTTTCCCCTAGTGTTTCATCATATTAATCACAGAATACAATTAACTCTCATATGCCAGGAGCTAGGTAAACTCACTAAATCATGTTACCTTCTGTCTTTGTTGCCATTTTGATTCATTCTTTTCCTTTTCATTTCTCAGAAAAATAAAAGCGGACAATAGAAGTAAAATAAACATATGTAAGCATATTTATATAAAGAATTCAGTAAAAATGTGACTTGGGAAGGATGGTGATTTTTAAATGGGCAATATTCTCCCCAATGTGGCTTCAAGCATGGTGAAGTCTAAATAAATTAAGGACCTTTGGACTGCTTTTTGAGGGTGGGGAATGTGGGGGAGTGAGGACTGTATTCTTTCAAGGAGCTCCCATAGCAAGTAGACATGAATTTTAGTTAAAAAAAAAAAAGTACACATTAGGCCTATAGAGGGTTTTATTATTAAGATGAGTGTTAGGATTGTAAATTCTGAGAAATGGGAGTGGGGTGAGATTGTCAGTTAAAAGTATGTTAAATAAAGGCAGTAGATAAAAATTAATTTAGGACAACAGATTCAGATCTGGAGGAGACCATAGAAGGCATCTTTCTTGTTTTATGGATGAGGAAACTGAGGTACAGAAAGGTTAGGTACAGCTCACACAGGTAGTAAACATCAAAGTCAGGATTTGAACCTAGCTCTCTGACTCCAAAGCTACTACTCTTCCTGTTGTCCTAGGCTGCTATGAATACAAATGTATTCAGGCTACTCAGAATTCTGCAGCATAACATAGATAATGAGTATGCCCCAGTTAGCTAAGAGACTGCATCCCTCATGACACCAGTGCAGAGAACTGGTTCTGGCCAGTGCTGAAAAAGACCGAAAGGGATAGGAATGATGATAAGAAATGATGGAGATGAAAGTGTGTGAATCAACACACATTTACCAAGTACCTCCTATGTTCCGGGCACTGTGCTCGGTGCTAGGGTTAGACATATAATGAATGAAACGATCTCCACTCTCAAGGAGTTTATACTCTAACAGGAGAGATGGCAGCAAGTGTATACAGATACATGAATGTATGTACACATACATGTACCTATATGTATACAAAGTTATGCAATATATGTATATACACACAACATTGAAATAAAATAAATTCAGAAGAGATGACAAATATGCAATAAATATGTACATATGTACATATACATGTGTACCTATTTATGTAATATATCTATATGTACATAAGTATAAAAATACATTCAAAGTAGTTAAATAAAAGGCAGTTTGAGGAGAGTACTAGCAGCTGGTATCAAGAAGGGCTTCATGTAGAACATGGTGCTTGGAGTTGCATCTTAAAGGGAGAGAGGGATTCTCTGAGGCAGTGGTAAGGAAAGACTATATGTCAAGTATGAGGGGCAACCAGTAAAGGTGCAGAGATGGGAAATGAAGAGTCCTGTTTGAAGAACAAAGAGAAGGTGAGTTTAGCTGGATAGTGGAGCACAGAAGAATGGGTAAGGCAGCTCAAAAGGTAGGATGGGGAAAATTTAGGGAGGATTTTAAAAGTTGAGCAGAAGAACTGTTTTATCCAAGAATAATTGGAATTGATCAGTGGAAAAGTGTCATGGTCCAATCTACACTTAAGGAAAATCAATTTGGTAGCAGTATAGAGAGCAGATTGAAGTGAGAGGAGACCAAGTTAGGAGGTCTTTGGAATAGCCATAGTGGGATGATTGATGAGGGCTTTAACGAAGTTGGTTTCTATGTGAATAGAATATCAGAGTCATATCCTAGAGAGGAGGAAGTGGCTGGATTTGACAAGTGATTGGGTGTGAAGGGTGAAGAAGAGAGAGGTCAAGGATAACATCAAGTTTACAAACATGCGAGACTAGAAGAATGGTGATGTCTTCAACAGAAATAGGGACATTTGGAAGAGAGGTGGGTTTGATGGGGAAGAAGTAGTAAATTCTCTTTTGGTTGTGTTGAGTTGGTGATATCTCTGGGGCAACTGGTTTGCAATGTCCAATAGGTAATTGATAATTTGGAGCTGAAGGTCAAGGAAGAGACTGGGACTTGAAACGTAGTCTTCAACATAGAGATAACTAAACACACTTTATGCACTTACTGGTTTTGTTCAATGTCACAGGTTCTTGCAAATATGAACTAAAATTGGGTTTGGTGTTTGGAGCGTAGGCTGACCTACTCTCTCAATGTCAATACAGCTGTAGCAAATGTTTACACAAAATGCCCATGTTGCCATGATTATAAGAGTTGGGGGGGGCAGTAAAGCCTAACAATTATAGGAGAATTTAGAACAAAACCGGTAGAATGAGAATGTAATATATTTATTTAATATTTATTATACAGAATAAATATAAAAAATACATTAAAGGTAGTTAAATAAGTTGCAGATTGAGGAGAAGGGTACTGGCAGTTGCTATCAGGAAGGGCTTCATGTAGAACAGTGGGGAAATTTGATATAAGCTGGCAATAATGACAAAACACTTCCCAGCATATAGTAAATGATCCATCAGTTCATATTTTATTGAATTAAACTGACAAAGAAACATAGCATCTGCAGGAAACTGGTCAACTTGACTATAAACCATAGTCATAATGACATTTGCAACTGACTCTTCTATGCCCTGTGAAATTATATGTGTCTGTCTAGAGGTAGGAGGTATGGGAATAGGTCTCACTTTTTTGTTTTTGTTGCTCATTAATTCCTTTCAGTTGTATACAACTCTTTCTGACCCCATTTGGGGTCTTCTTGGCAAAGGTACTGGAGTGATTTTCCACTTCTCAGCTCATTTTATAAATGAAGAACTGAGGCAAACTGGTTGAAGTGACTTGCCCAGGGTCACATGGCTAGTAATTGCCTGAGTCCAGATTTGAACTCACAAAGAGGAGTCTTCCTCGTGATGAACCAGTCCTGATGACCTCTTATGCATTTCCTCTAGACTGAGAATTGATTGGAAAAAAAGTAGCTTGATTGGAAGATTTTTTTGAATGCCAAGAATCATGGGAGAAAAAGTATCATAGGACCCTATGGAAAAGACTATAGTGATTCAATAGTTCAATGCATCTATAAACATTTACCAGATGTCCACTAGGTAAAAGGCACTGGATAAAAGGAGAAATAGCAGCTCTCAAGGAGTTTGCATTCTGCTAGATCATTAAGTGCCACTCTCTTCCTTCATCTTCTCCAATTTTTCCTTTTCCTTTTCTTTGTAGTGGAGAGATTTTTGGACTGGGAATCAGGAAGCTCTGACTCCAGTCATTACCTTTATAACCTTGACCAAATAAGCTGTTGCATCTCCCTAGGCCTTAGTTTCTTCTGTAAAAAGGACTAAATTATCTCTAAGGTCATTTCAGCTCTGATGGTCTACAGATTCTATTGTTTTATATGTGCTTTTCTGCCTTCAAATGAAGCACTGGCTTATTATAGACATCATCATCAGGAAGAGCTTTCCTTTCCTCACTGGTAAAGAACAATCAATTGCAGCACACTGAGAGTGACGGAAATCAGTAGCTACAGCTAAGGTAATGGCGGCAGTTAATAGTGGTGAAGGGGATAAAAAATTGCAAGCATAAGGAGAGTGCAGTAGAATCCATCTATATGTGACTACATCTATGCCTGCAGAATGACACAATGTATCACAGAAACTGGTGTTCAAAATGGTGACCCTCAATCATTGAGCAAAGGTGAAATTGTGTTCTATATACTCTGTAAGACAGGAATGAATGCAATAAATTTTACGAAGAGAGGAAGGCCTGCAGTGGACCAACTGTGATGAACTTATGGGAAAGTAAAAGCACAAGTCATATAGGATGGACAACAAGTATGGATAGACAGTCTTGGAACTGCATCACTGGAAGGGACATCTAGGTTTCTGAGACCAGAGTGCCATTTGAATATTCCTTTAAAAAGTTTCACCATAAAATAATAAAGGAGTAGTATTTTAAAGGAGTAATGTCCAGCAAACTGGAAAACCTCTCTGGAATGACTCAAAGTTTTATTGTAGTAAACAAGTAATTGTAGTATTTAAATAAAGTAAATAAGTAATGGCACATAGCACAATGCCTGGCACATGGTAAGCACTTAACAAATGTTTATCGACTAACAAATGTTTATTTTACTGAAACAACTAAATGACAAATAAGCAGTTTAATAAATAAAGTAAATAATTGTGCTATAGTAAATAATAGTTTGGATTATATGCATGTACCCATCTGAGAGAATTTTCTGGACAGCTCTTTGTCAAAAAAGGAAAATGTAAAGAATTTATTTAAGGTAAATATTGCATCTTTCCCAGTCATATCATAATAGGAATATGTCTATAGTGAAGAGAGTCATCTGTTTAAAAAAAAATATCATCAGCTTTTGTTGCATAAGCTTAAAGTTTGGTATGCTGAAGCAAAGGGGCTTGTAGAAAAAGAAAGACCGTCTATAAAAGCGATCAGAATTTATCTTTAGATGGCTATAATTCTTAATCTTGTGACTTCCTCCCTTAAGTACATTGGATTTTTGTGTCAACTATAGAGATTATCGAGATTATATATGTGTTTTGGAGCATATCTTCTTATAGACTTGGGGAAATCTCCCTAAAGTGCATAGTACTTCTGTGTATAAATCAGGAAAGCCAATACTGTACTCTATTATCCATTCCATTGTTTTATATAAGACAGGTCAGGCATTGCTTGTGGTTTTCAGTGGAAATTGTCAGACTCATGTTCCTAGTCCCCTGCTTAAAGCAGTTGTTCTCATGCAAGCCATGAAATTAATAATCACGACTAATTTTTCATGGGTGTCAAATAAATGTAAACTGCTGGTCTT